AACATTAACATTCCTAGCCAGAGAGTCGTTGTACCAGAGACATCGGCGCGATTGTGTGAGAGGGAGAGAGACAGAGAGAGAGAGAGAGAGAGAGAGAGAGAGAGAGAGAGAGCACGCCAGGCTGTACGATACCGTTCAAAAATACGGAGACGCTATACAAACACTTGGTGTGGTAGCATACATGGCAACGACACCGGACGCAGTAGCGACCACTACAACAACGCTGCTGACACCGTCCATGCCGGAACCTCCCGCCCTCCCCCCCTCCCTCCCTCACCTTGACATCGAGTTCGGCACCCTTTGGCCGCGACACGAACCCCTCGCTCCGAACAGCTCGCGAGTAGTGATGCCGCGGGTCGAACGACGACAACCGCGACAGCTCACCACCGCCACCGTTCCGGTCGTGTTCGTCTCGCCCGCGCCTTCCCATGCCTGATCCCGCCCCTGCTGCTGCTGTCGTCGTCGTCGTCCCGTCCAACGTAGCCGTTTCGGCCCTTTTCCACTCCCGTGCCCCCTCGCTGCCATCCGAAGCTCGAAATGCGCGGTCGACAAGCCGCTGGAAGAGGCCCTCGGTCATCTGCGTGTTGCTAGAGAGTTTCAACGGGACTACAAGAGACGGCGACGACGACGTCGATGGCGATGGCGGTGAACACACCCTTGTCCGCTCGCCCTGGTCGTGGCGGCCGATATTGCCGTCGCCGTCCCGTCCAAGGTCGACTACGGCGCTATCGCCACAGCCGCCGCCGTCGCCGCCGCCGCCGCCGCCGTCGCCGAGACACGAAGCGGCAGCGGTCGTCGCCCCGCCCGGGGCCAGAGCGCTCGCCAGGAACGGATGGCCCTCGGTCGAAAGCACGGTGTCGGACCACAGCAAACACCGCGGCGCATACGGCGATTGGGCAGGCTCGACGCCGCTTCCACGCTCGTCGTGCTTGGCGCCGTCCGCGCCGCCGACCGCTACCGGAGCAGAAGCGGCCGAGGCAGGACCACCTCCAACCCCCGATATTAGACCAGAGGCAGAGGCAGAGGCAGCAGCACCTGCTGTGGTGTTAGCAGCAGCAGCAGCAGCAGCAGCAGCAGCAGCAGCGTTTGAGGTCGCGTTGGCAGCGACGGCGGCCGCGGCGGCGCTTCTTCGAGCGTGGTGGTTGAGCACCTCGTCTTCCTGCTCCGGGGTGCAGAAGATCGACTTGCGATTCTTGGCCGGAAGAGAGCTGTTCATGTGTGTCCAGTCCGTGACAGGGGGGGGGGGGGGGGGTCAACTCAGTCGTCGTTTTGAGATACCGTACAGGCAGGATGACAAGAGTGTGAGCAACGGTATCTTGAATACAATTCACGGTCGGAAATGCTTTTGGTGTCGACCAGCAGCGGAAGCAACGGCAAAATGCGGTACCAGCGGCAGCAGCAGCAAACAAGCATCAACCTGTCGAAGAGAAGGAAGAGGTACTTGAGCGTCTCGGCGATGAAGAAGCTGTCCATGCGGTCGTCCAGCCTCGAGCTGTCCACGTCGCCCACGCTGGCGTAGCCGCAGGCCACCCTGCTGTTGGACTGCAACGCCGACAGCAAGTCCTCGCCGGCCCGGAGGTACTTGGCCGACCCCGTCGCCCGGTAGAGGGCCAGGGTGCTCTCCGCCAATTCCGGCCTGAGTGGGCTATCTCTGCCGTAGTGCAGCAGCCTGAAACGAAGTATCAGAACAAAATATAGAGAGCGTGAAAAAAAATCGCCTGAGACGTTTTGACACGAAAGCGTATCAGCCGTGGGGAGAAGGTGCACCCACCGTGAACCAACCCGGTGTCTGTACGCGCGTGTGCTTGCTCCTTCACACTGCTTTCGTTATCATCCTCCGACCTTCGGCGGGGGTGGTCTGCTCCCTAGCGCCAACGCGGGCAAGGACATCCTCATCCTCGCCTACAACATTCGATCACCATCGCTGCCAAAACGCTAGACACTGCCATATACCTGAGAGATAAGAACGGGGAGAGAATCTTCACGCCAACAAATACAAAACACACACCTGTCGTTGAGCACGTCGTAAAAGTCGGGGAGCGCGTCGTACTCCTCCCAGAGCTCGAACAACGCGTCGTACGTCCTCTCCGCCGCCTCCACGCTCCCCGCGCCGGCCTGGACGGCCGGCCAGAACGCCTGCAGCGAGCTGACCCGGTAGTTGGACGGGTTTCCCTTCCCCTTCCACATATCTACCTCTACGTGCCACCGCTCCCACACGAGGTTCTCCTCCACCCCGGCGTACGCCTCCCGAAACATCCCCCTCATCTCCGCGTCCCGGAAAAGCCTCGCCGACTTGTCCAGGTACTCGTAGAAGCTTTCGGGCCAAGGAATGAAAAAAAGAGAACACGTTTTCGGGGTGGATCAGCCGGTTTTAGTGCGGTCGGTGCTTGCTGAAGAAACAACACATAGCAGCACATCGCGCAGTGGTCACTCGTCTCACAACCGCAATTCACGTTCGTCATTGGCATTGTCACCACCACCATCATCATCAGGGACAATTGTTGTTGATCATGGTCGTTGTCATCGTCATAGCCATCATCGCCACCACAACCACCGTAATCTTCAGTGACTTTTGTTGCTCCTCGCACTCATTGTCGTCATCATCACCATCATCATCGTCACCATTAAGAAGCAATCGGGACCGATCAACGATGGCCAAAAGAAAATCGCTGAGGGAGGACCAAGGGCCGGACAACAAAGACAAGTGAAAACAACGCCCACGGCCTCTGCCCTCGCAGAAACTCGACGTTCCCAACATCCGTCCACATGATTGGCAGGCACCAGCGACCACCACCAAGCAGTCCGAAGCTTCACCTTCGGCACAAGGGCACCAAGGAACACGCACAAACAAAAAAACAAAAACGCAAAACAAAGCACCGACAAAAAACCTTCATGCGCAAACGGCAACGAAAAGCAAGAAAAACCCTTGCACAGCGTACCAGGTATATGTGGAGTGATGTGCCCCATGCATGTACCCTCCTCTCCCGCCGTAATCGCAAAACCACAAAAACAATACCGCCGTACCACCATCTCTCAGGAATCGAACCTGTCCGTCCCGGCGCCGATGCTCGCGGTCCTTGAATCCCACTTTCCCGTAGACCCCTTAACGCCGCCCCCGACCAGCCCCAGGGGGCTCCGCCGCTCCCAGAGCGCCCCGACAGCTCGACGCGCCGCCGCCTCGAAGGAGGGGTCGCCCGTTAACCGCGAGAGCGCGCCGAACTCGACGAGGAATGTCCCGGCGGCCGCGGAACACGTATCTCGAGTCTCCCCTGGCGAGTGTTGTCGACAAGAGGGCGGGGGGGGGGGGGGGGGGGTACTCTTAAAGTTTCCCATGCCTTAGCGGTTAACAGGGGCGGGCACAAATTTGTTGTTTTTTCCATTTTGCCACTATTGTAACCACTGACTGCGCATCTCGCTCATTCGACGGAGCATCGTCCTACCCTACATCTCTTACCAGACGCGCTGCAAGCAGCGTCAGGAGACACACGGGCCGTTAAAAAAAAAAAACTGACATCCTGACCACAACCACACAGTCCCGATTTTTCTGCCGCCTCGGCCGCAACAGCAACGTGGTGGTCAAGTCAACCCGACGTACAGGGTTTTGCCCAACGACGAGTTGAGGCCCTCGCCGCCCTTTCTTTCCCCATGTCACCCCGGCCCCGCAAATAAAAAACCGACGCTTTCTGTCATTCACCACCACCACCACCACCATCCCCCGTCCTACACACCTCGAGGCACTCCTTTGCGAAGGTTAACGCGGTGCACCGGTATGCCGAGCGGGGTGTCGAACGCGGGCAGCAGCCGCCGTCCGAGGTCGTGCGCCAACGAGAGGAGCTCGCCGCCGTACCACCCGGGTGGACCAAGCCTGCCGCTGGGCCCCAGCTCCGTGGCGATCTGGTGGGCACTCAGCTACCGGGAGGGGGGGGGGCGAACAGGGCGAACAGGGCAATACAGAGCAGCAGCGTGGAACACGACGCGGGTCGGGTAGGGTTGACAAATCATGTGCGCGAGAGATTCGCCGTCCTTGGGAGTCAGCATAATCGCACACTCTTCTCTGGTCCTTCGAATTGGTACCGCTCCGAATAGCACAATGCGACTGCTGTTCAAGATGTACAGGGATAGAGGACACTGCCACATAAAACGCATCGAGGTGTAGAGGACACACACACACACACGACACCCTTTCTTCGCCAAAGTGGATGCTTGGGTCGCCAAACCTCCTTCAAGCGACCCAAGACCAATACCCTGTCACTTCCGACACCTGTACGGCAAATCTTGTCGCGCCCCACCGCACCCAAAACCGTGAAACATTGTCCCGTTCTACACACAGCAACACGCAGCTCTCGTAAACTCCAAACACAGCAGAAAGACCGCCTGCTTCGTGGATAATGACCTCGGTCTCACCAGACCCCCCAGCACCCTGATGGAGGCCTCGAACACGGACACCACCACGTCGCGGTCGAACGTGAGAAGGCCTGACTCGAAGTCCCGGAGCAACGTCGCCGTAGCTTGTCGAAACCCTTCCCCGTCCCCGACCACGGCATGCATGTCCAGGCTGTCGATCATGGTGAGGGCGTACCCCCTGGAGACAACAAACACGTCAAAAACGTGCAACAGCAGGCGAGTTCTTGATTGGGCTTTGCTGCTCGAGTATGTATGTTGTACCGCGCAAAGACACGCACGCGGCGTTTTCATTGCACTCGCGCTATCCAACAACAGGTTTTCTAAAACAACGCATGCGCGCGCAGGTAGAATTACGTACGTCCATGGGTTGTTTCCGGATGCTTGAAGATTTTCGAACAGCCTTCCTGTTTTGTAAATACCGATTGAACCGACCGACCGACTGCCAGCCAAACACGCAGCCGGCCTTCTCTCTCTCTCTCTCTCTCTCTCTCTCTCTCTCTCTCTCTCTCTCTCTCTCTCTCTCTCACCCTAGAGCGTCGTCGATGGTACCTCTCGTGCGGCGTTGCCATTCCCTCCCCTTGCACGATAGCGGCATCAGCTCATCGGCGGGGTCTGGTCGATACAACAACAAAAAAAATGGAGCACAACACGGCCATGCGGAAGGTATGCGGAAAATTCAGTCAAAGTGCAAGGACGCCTGTCGAAAAACCCACACGACAGCATCCCCCGCACCGGCCGGGAGACGTCATTCGTCTTTCTATTTATAACGGATTTTCCGCAGAGGTTCATCGTGCGCAAGACTAATAAATACTGCTGTAGCATGTCGTAAGATATGCGGCGGACTGAGCGTGATTTAGGCGGCAGCAATCTGCCACAAGACATCCTGTGCCATTTGGTTGTTGGTGTAGGTATAAATTTCCTTTCTTCCTTCCTTCCGTGCTGCTGCATGCACCCTTTCCCCGATCCGGCGCCCTGCTCCGTGTTGTTTCTGGTGCGCCTCGTGTGTATTCGACACGTGGCTGGGTGTCTCTCGTGTGCCAGGGTGCAGGGGGGGCGAGCCGAGCGAGAGAGTGAGAGAGACTGACACGGCCGACGAGAAGTTGACATGGAGTACTCCGGCATGGGGGATAAAAGCCCCTTTGACTGGTTCTTACGGATGGAACATGCAGGCACATATATCACCTGTGCCTTGATCGGTCCTTCAAGTATTGTCACGAAAAATACACCAATACAAGAGCCCAACGGCGCGATGAACATGTGTAGGTATGTAGCGGCAGCTTATCCCGGCGACGAATGAATACGATCAAGTACATCTAGACATAATGCAATCCAATTAGATTGGAGGGCGTAGATCCGGCAATTGGGAAAGCGACGAAAGTCCCCCGACCATGGATCTACAAATGGAGTGAAGTGCGGTGTCGCTGTAGTTCCCAATGGCAGGGCCCCGCCTCCCTCATAGCAACATGTGTTGTAACACAGCTGAACCGCACGGAAGAGGCTGAACCCTGAGAGTGTTATTGGTTACTGAGCTGACATGAAACGCGCCGTGAGCGAGAGTACACAAGTCCTAACTTTGGAATACGTGCAGCCTTTGTTAGCCTTTGTTAGGAGCCAAACGGAGTGGTGTAACTGTTGAGCCGCTAGCGAGCGGTTAAAATGTGAGATAGGTTAGGTCACACGTAGGCTATTGTAGCCATTGCCGCATGATAGCGCTGCACTAACTGCCCGATCGTCACCACCTTACACCACCGCAATATGGTGGAGGAGTAGGGATCTGCGCCACTCTAGAGCAAGTGGGTATGGTGCAACTATAACGGAGGCAGCTCACCGCTCTCTTGGTCCCATCCAACTTTGCGCAATAGAGGCCTAGACCACGTACATTAATCGCCTCGTATGCAAACAAAACTTGAGGTATTCGCGGCCTGACCACACCGCCCCATATCTGGTCGACCAAGACATAGTTCTGGAGACTCCTCAGCGTACACGACCTTCACGACCTTCACTGCCTTGTCGACCGGGCGCGTGGCTCTATGAATGCCGACGAAGAAAGATAAATTATCCAACAACGGGTCTAAAGTCTAAAAAATGAGTTAAAAAAAAAAAATTGATGGACATATAGTCTACCATCTCTTCTGCATACATAGAGCCACGCGCCCGGTCGACAAGGCAGTGAAGGTCGTGTACGCTGAGGAGTCTCCAGAACTATGTCTTGGTCGACCAGATATGGGGCGGTGTGGTCAGGCCGCGAAGACCTCAAGTATTGTATGCATACGAGGCGGTTAATGTAGGTGGTCCAGGCCTCCATGGCGGAAAAAGTTGGATGGAGCCCAGTCGGTTAGCGAGGTCGATGCTAAAACAAAAGACACACACACAGAGAGACGCCATACGAACGCCCCACACCACCGGTAGGCGTAAAAGACCCTACCAGCTCTACGCAGAGGGTATGCATAGCTACAGCGAACACATGTTGTTGTTGTTGTTGCTGTTGTTGTTGTCTTCACATTAAAAACCGTTCCGTTCTCTCTGCCCAGTACCTTCTTCTGTCCGTACTAGTCTAACACTTGACGGGGTCGATTCCCGTGGTCACAGGCTAACTTACCCAAAAAAAGGTACCTGGTACAGTTTCCGAAAATATGTTTTTCGATCGTTCTTCTTGCTTCTGAATGCATGTTTTCTGTTCTCTAGCTTTATAGAAGGGAGGGTGAGGATTGCTTTTCTTCTTCACTCCTTTGGGTTGCATCTGCTTTTGTTTTTAAAATGTAAGGAGTTCTACATCCATGTTGTACCTCCCAAACGTAAATCGGGTGCGTGCATGAGCGTCTTTCTTTCGCCGTCGAGGGGTGCCTTAGAGGTTGCCTGCCAAGCGCTACGGCCTTTTTGCCACTACATCATTTAATAGCGAAGTGCCTTTCGAATGAGCATCACGGTTGGCGTTGAAGGCAGCGGCAACGTTTGTTCACTGAGGTGGGAAGATAACAACGGTGCAGCTTCTGGTCGAGTTCACGTGACCAATGCCGTATTTACGACAGGCTAGAAGCCTCACGAAACTTATAGAAGCCAGCCCACGTCGCGCACATGACAATCGATCCGTATACCGTTCGTTTGGTACTCTGTCAACCCTGAAATTGAACAATCGTCAACGCCGGCTCTATTTTTGAGACTCTGAATAGTGCCGGCTTGGCACATTCAGGCACTAACTATTCTGAACAGCAGTGCCGCTGGCCGGTAAAGTGCAGGTCTTACGTCTGGGCACTACCGGCACTACCAAAAGGTATATACTCCGTATCGGGAGGCCTACTGCTGTAGCGCTATAGCCCTTTCCACCCGAGCACAGATGGAAGCGGCGCAACCTCTCTGTTGAACCTGCGGTATAGTCTCTCAATTCTACCTGACAATACGACAATTCCCTCCTACTCCTCCCCAAGTATGTACAACGCACCCACACTAGAACTACTGAAGTTCTCCCCGCGTACCACGGCACCACACCTGTCGACAAGTTCAGAGGTGGAGACAGCCTTTGAAGAAGATGGGACCAAAGCGTGCCCCCAAAAGTCGATGTAGCCCTTATTCTCTTGTCGTTTCTTATGTCCTCTGTCGTCAATGTGGGGTAGCCCAACAGCGACTACATTTGTACCACTGCTGTACCTCCTGCTAGGTTTTGGTGTGAAGAATTCTCAAACACTGCTGCACTACTACGGTAAATGCTGCCCGCTGTACAGCAGCAGTACTTCCCGAAGGGCGAAAATACAGCAGTGCTTTGTGTGCGTACGCTGTGGTGTACATATGAAGAGGTTTCCGTTGAACTGCTGAGTGAACTTCCTAAAAGATAAAATATACAAAATGGGTGCCCTCTAAGTCACAGCAGCAGCAGTAGCACCCACGCGCCCTACAAGTACAGCAATCCTTGCGAGAGCGAATGATAAATTGCCGAACAAATGCCCTCGCTGGGACCTCATCATGTGTACAGAGACAGATTTTATGCCGTACATCCAAAGTGGTGGGACTGCTCGGGAAGAAAAGCAAGAAAGAATCAACCTTGACGACAGCACATTTCTTCTCACAGGCGTAGGTGATGTATGACTGATAGGCGTGGTGGAACGCTCCCAGCACCTCCTCCCGGAGCTCCTCGCGCCTGCCCATTGGCATTTTGTCTCCCAAGCACCCTCCCGCTACCGCCAGAATGAGAACGCTTTTTCGCAGAGGGCGGTGCATCGCGGCTAGCCCACATAGATTATGAGGAACTACCAGCGGGGTCGAGGAATGAGGAAAGTAGACCGGGCCGTCAGCAGTGGAACGGAAACAAGATGCAGCTGCCCCTGGCAACACCACCATGCATGCGGCTCAGCTCAGACGAGGCACCTGAAACTACGAGCCCCCCTCCCCCCCGCAGAATTCCTCCCCGTGTATCGCGTGGACAGAAGAGAATCAGGTCCGTTCAGCTTCATCTGACGGCGGCAGTCGGCGGCAGTTGAACTAAAATAAAACATAGTACAGCAGTCCGTGTTCGCTTTTCTAATCTGCTGCTGGAAAGACGCAACAGGACGAGTTGGTGGCGTACACCATCTCCCCACCTCTTTGTCGCGTTCTTATTCGTCTTGCTCAAGGTTTGAGGTTCTATTCTCCTTGCTGCAACAACGAGAACACAAGATCTCACCTGTCGCCACGAATCATCATCTCTTTTTTTTTTTGACAAAAAGAATCCATCTCTATCGTCTGAGACAGATTAGCAATGAATTCATAGCGTCAGAAAGTACCTGTATGTCTACGATTTCCCAGACAGCATATTGTATAGGGACATCTCCCCTGCGGGTAACAGGCTCAACAAAACAGTTTGGTAGCTGTCTTGTGTGTCTCATATATGTTATGTTGGGAAGGTGCAGAAGAAATGTGTTAGGTACTGTTGGGTAGTCATCATCTTTTTTTTTGCTTTTTCAAGTCCTCGTTCTGTTCTAGTAGGTTTTCTCTGCGGACCATCCTCGGGGAGGGCAGACCTCCTCTTTTTGGGGGGTTTCATACCATTTTCTGTCGACCCCCCGGAATCTGTCTGTCTGTGCAAGTCTGTGGGAGAATCTACTTGTAGACAACCGGCTTTTCTCTCCCCACTTTTTCGATCCTCGTTCCCTCACCCTCTCCCCCTCCTCCTCCTGACAGGCATGAGCTCCCGCAACCTAGACAACTGGGTCCCCTTGCCGCCCGCCATCAATCCCCTCACGGCCGTCAGACGAACCACGACAACAGTGTGCTCGAATGCACAACACGTAGCTCTTAATCAGGCCGCAATCGAGCAACTGGCCAAGATGTGGGCAACGGACGGGGGCGGCGGAGGGGCGAGCGTCGGGTGGGAGGAGACCGGCTGGCACTACTCCGAGGACGCGGCGGTCGGAGGAAACCTGACGTGCACCTACGTCTTTGTACTGGGTGAGGCGGGGTTGTGTCGGGAGAGGACTTGTCATGAGGACACATGAGGACAACAACAACAACAACAACCACAACAACCACAACGTCTCTTGTCTGCTCGACTCTTTTTGTTTGGAAAGTGTGGCATTTTTCTGATTTTTCTTCTCGAGAGGAGATACAACTCTCGTACCTACGTGCCGATGCTTGGATGGATTGCTGCTGCAGGGAAAGAAGGATTCTTCCCCTGCCTGCTGCCAGAGCTCCGACATTGTCTCCGCGAGAGCAGTGTACGCACACGTGGGTGTGTCTGTAGACAGCAGTGTCTGTGCGTGTGATTCCGTGACGTGTGCCCCCTAGACCTCCCCTCTCTTTCTTGTCCTCTTGGAATTCTCTCCCTTTCTTCATCCTCCTTGATACCTTGATATGATGTCGCTCGAGGAGCCAGATCTCCGTTGTATCCGAAGTGCCTGCATAATGGGCAGGCTCCAGTCAGCAATACCCCCCCCCGCTCTCCGTCGCGAGACCGCACAGGAAAGCATCACCAACAAGTCGAAATCGAATCCCCTCTAATACGCCTCGGTAGATTTGCCGAGCTGCTGCCTTCTTATTACCCAGGTGGCGCACTTTGGTAGATGCAATTTTGTTGGGGCTTGGGATGAGGAACGCAACATCACATCACCTTCCCGACCTTCGTCCATACGTATTATAGTACTCAAGCCCCCCATGGCCAACTTGTACGAAGAGGGTTGATGCATGGATATGCGTATGTATGCATGTCAGGGCACAGACCGCAGTTAATCCATGGATGACATGACACAAGCATACAGCAGTGGAACACCATAAAGATAGAGCATGCCCTGGTTGACAATCTGGAGAAGCCCACGTGTGTTCTCCATTCTCCACGTGAAGTTCGTTTCAAGGTTGGCTGTTTTATGTACAGCAGTGATGAGTCCCAACTCCAGACTACAAGCAGTGCTTGCCACGTATGCATCTACCTGCACCTATACGCCAAAGCCGCGCGCCGTGAAATGAACAAGCACCAAGTAGTTTCTGGTTCAGAGCAGCTGTTCGTGCACAAATGGCAGTGCTCCATCAGCGCCACTCGTCTGTGTAACAAACAACAGCAGTCAGTGCAGTGCGTCTAATCCACTTGATATATCTTCGACGTATGCATACAGCAGCAGTACATCTATATCCGCCATCGAACAAGTGCAGTATCTCCTAAAATGTCTCGCGCTCAACTCCGCGGCAATTCTCCCGCCCGCTGGATTCTAGTGTATGTACAAGTATGCATACGAATCGGACACGTTGTCGATAGCAGCAGCACCAGCCTCCTTCTCGTATGTACGTTGGTCAAGACCCGTGTGGTGCTTTTCCCTGCAAGTCAAGCCGCAAATCACTCCCGAGCACCACACGCCACACTCGCTTTCTGACCAAAGGGATATCTGACTACAGAAGAAGCAAACAAAACACCCCGCCGCTCTCCTGTGTCTTGTGATGTGCACGTGCTGCAGCAGTGCATCTCTGTGCATCTCCCTCCCCTGCCTGCTTGGTTTCTCGCACTGCCTCGATTGCACTTTCCACCTACTCTCCGTCGTTCTCGCCTAGCTACTGTCGTTTGCATAAACATATGGTTTTATTGTGCGTGTGTGCAGCCCATTTAATTCTGGACGATCCGGACCATGGATGGAACCTCGAACGTACAGCAGTATGCACAGGTGTGCTGCTCTTTGTGTATGACACAAGTCGTATGCCTGCGCTTGCGCTGTTCTGGGTCATGTGTTTTCGTTCTCTCCCGATACTGACTTACACCCCCGAGCCGAGCAAGGATACTTGCACTTTGAAAAGCCGAAGTTCGGCCCTACTGCTGTAGAGTATCATTCGGTTCAGTTCAAAGTTCAAAGAGGCATTTTGAAGACAACAACAACAACAACAACAACATACACCGGCCAACAACCAATCGTGGAGACTCGAGCAGAATACTCCGAAATTTAAACTCAGAACTTTACTCTTGGTTGATTTGAAGAGAACAGCAACATTTCACAACAAGTTGTCCACGGGTGGGTGTTAACATAACACACATGGCGATGCGTGGTAGAAATACTTTACGGCCACCGATACACATCCCGTTCGACTGTGGGTACATCTCGAATGGGTAGTCTTTCTGTGCGTGTATTTATTTTGAATCTTGGTTTGGTTGTACATACGCACAAACCGTAAGATGTCCAAGCAAACTTGTTGCCGCGGAGTTTTTTTTGCTTTTTTCCCTCCGCATGTACACGTCAGTTTGGTGGACGGCAGGCGAATTTCCGCTCTCGAGGAGGAGAGGAGGAGATGCCCGTTGAGTCCGGAGATGGGCTGTCCGCCGTGCACTGATTTTCGAGGTCTTAATAAACGGCGCCCCCCTTGGGGTATTGTCGCAACAAGAGATAGATGCCCGTTCGTTTGTGTCGTGGCACGTCCTCCACCATGAACTACGCGTACAATCGATACAATGCGCGCACACACACCGTGCGCATACATGTTGATGCAGCACCTAGGATGGACTGCTGCTGCTGTACATACACATACATAGCCCCGACCGTACCCGCGCACATCACATCACCAGCCTAACTCTCTTTTTTTCCGTCCACGACAAGCATTGGGCCTGTATCATTGCAAACGATGTAGTGAGACTCGTTGAAGCCCCGTCCCTTGTCGTCTTGGTTTAAATTCTCGGTCCTGGCTGACGTGCAACCCTGCTGCCTGCTGCTCTCTTTGCTGGAAGGCCTGTAACGGCCGTTGGTCTCTTTCTGCAGAGTTTTTTCTATGCCCTGACCATCTCTTCTTACTCTTTCCGCTAGCATATATCCCACGGTTTATGGGCAACAGCCACGGCGACCACAGGTTCTGCTTAAGGACCAGAAGGTTCACCGTTGCCATACATGGTGTGGTCCAGTGTTCTAAATTTTGTATGTACCTCCGAGGTATCAGTAGGTTGAAATCACTACCGCCGTAACCAAGGTTTTGTGATGCCAGCAGGAGCAACCAAGTCATTGTAAATGTGTCATGTCGATGCCTTTTGTGCCAGGGAACATCTTGCGCTCGCGGCATTGCATCTTTTCTCACGCTTCCCACTGAGGGGCACGCGGGGGGCTTGTCGGTACATTACGGTGCATGGCCGAGGACCGCCAGCCATCCGTGGCACGTGCAATCGACGCCTAAAGCCGCCGCCACTGGCTATATATAGCCATTCCGAACCAAAAAAGCCTTCGCGGCATAGGTGCTGTACACAAAGAAACTAGACAGGAAAGACACTTTTTTTTTGTTCCTGCGCAAGACACACACCCGCACACCCCATGAGCAACACGGCACATGGATGAGAGAGAGAAACAGAGACACAGAGAGAGAGAGAGAGACCAAGAGCAGCAGGTTGCAGCAGTAAGATCACCAGCTACTGCTGTAGACCACACCTCCCTACAAATCGGCAATCTCCGGCCGATCGCGACCTTGCGAGATAATGATTTCCCGATTTCCGCCATTTCGCGAGGTACATGTAATGACCCGAACTGACCCGAACTGGCCCCCTTTTTCCGATTACCCGCAGGGGCCCGAACGGATCGCTCGCAAAAGAATCTGCGCAGAGATCTCAAGAGCGATGGCCGTACAAATACCTGCGGAATGTATATCGTTCAATACGTAGCCGCTGCGTAAGACTTACAGCAGTAGGATCTGCAGCAGAGACGCCGCTAGCCTCCATCAAGCATACATTCATCATGCGCACGCGAAGAATCCCTGCTGTTCGGAAAGAAAGTTCCCCGCAACACGATGCGAGCTGAATCTGCAGTTTGTACGGAAACCGCGGCACTACCAGCAACCAAGGATGAGATACACCGATATATCCGCCGTGATTGCATTGGCCCATAATGGTCCTCTTGAGTCGCCCCCGGGAGGCAAGCCACCAAACTCCCGGAAGGGAGCGTTTAATGTACACTTCGACCCCGATTTATGGGAACGAAATCTTGTCGATAAATCTTGATCTTGGCCAAGATCTGCCTGTTTCACGATTTATGGGAGCGAAATTTCCCAATATATCTTGGCGAAGATTTCTCGAGGCCCGAAATCTGCCCTTTCGAACAAATCTTGACCCAAGATCTGTCGAAACCACCCTTCCGACAAATATTGAGGCGGCGTAACAAATCTTGCCTGGGTGCGGCGCGATCACCGAAGGTCAGTCAACCTTATCGTCCATTACGCCATAAAATCCGCACGAGGCACACTCGCAAGGGTCTCTAACGCACCCTGGCATCACTTTGTCGGCGCCACGGGCGCCGACAGCGAACGAAAACAACCAAGGCGGTCGAAAAAAATGCGTATTTGCCCTGGCTCGTTCCACGTGCGTCATCACCAGACTGTCGGGACCGTTCAAAGAGTGCTTTATTTTGAAGTAGAAAAATAGAGCAGGAGGAACGTTTTGCCAACACTGCTCTGTCGTGTGCGATGCTTCTATCTCTACATCGAATCACCCCACACCCAACCCGTTTGCACCCGAGCCAAATCTGTGGGTGCAGATGGCAGCGCCGTAGGTTTGACCTCGGTACGCCTGCTACATAGTGAGATACGTGCATGGGTGTCATCGGCCTCGGGTTGATGCACTTTCTTGTCAGTTGGACAGGAATGGAACAATTTTGTTTCTCCGTTTGACATGAGCTCGTGGGCAACGGCTTCTATTTGGCACCCCAGGTAGGCGCCCATCGCTAGTATCCACCCACAGTGTTGAGGCAATACAGCTGGGGGAGGGACGCCCCTTCTACAACTGCGTCATGCTCACTTTTCGCCACACCTCGGCATTTTCTGTTGACCAAGTGGCCGTTGTGCCTTTATCAACTTCAAGCAGAAGAGAGGAACAACACGCCGCTTTTTTCACATTCAAGATAGTTCCCCCATAAATCGCGATACTGCAAATCTTCGCGGAGATATATTGTGAGCAAATCTTGGGTCAAAATGCCAAGATATATTTGCAAGATTCTGTTTCCATAAAGAGGGGTCTTCGCACGATGTATCGCATGTATAATTTCCATGTTTTCGTTCTTCGGCACAACTTGCTCTCGCGGCAGCGAATCCTTTCTCGGATGGCTCCTGCTCAGGGGCACACAAGAGGCTCGTCGTGCATTACCGCGAATGCCCCAGGACCGCCTGGCGTTCGTGCACATGCAGTCGAAGCCTACAGTGGCCGGGACTTGCTCTATCTCGTGGGGAGGCATTCCTAACCAAAAGAAGCCTTTGCAAGACAAGACAAGACACACACATGTCTTTTTCTGTACCATGGTATAAGCAGAAATACTTTTGATTTCTGCACAACGCACACATTAATGTTTCCACACACCAGCAACACGGTACCCAATACATAAGAGCGAGCGCATCGAACGCAGCGGGTTACCGCGGTAGGATCTGCGGCAAAGACCCCGCTAGCCTAAAGGACGCACGTGACATATTTCAAACTCGAGATTCCTGGATTAGTCTGTTTGACTGGCTTGTAGGGATTCCCGAGAATTCGAAATTTGAAATACCGCGCGGAGATTCCCGAAACGTCATGGGTAGGGAATTTCCGGCTGGATCTTTGTTCCCGAATAAATATTCAGAGGGGTGTGTTGGCCCGATTGCAATTATTCATGAAGGATCTTGAGCTTTTTGTACCTCCGCCCGTGACGGAAGGGAGGGACAGCTCGCACGAGGTATCACACCATGCCGCACAGACCCCGACTGCGACCACTCGAACAGCTACCACCGTGGAAGCCAGCGTGGCTTCTACCTCGGAGACTGTTCCACCCCTCCATCCTCCTGCTTGAGATATATCACCGATGGTGCATCACTCCTCGTCTACAACGCCCTCTACTAGAGCACATCAGCACAACAATTCCGCAACTCGACTTGAAAAACCCAACGGCTCCACCCATCAACCGCTCCCTCCAGGTATAAGCAGCTGGCAATCTCGGTCAGAGGCAAAGAACGGCAGAGGACGGACACAAAACCTAGACCCACACCCCCAGAGCTTTTAGGACACCGCGCGCACGCAAATATTCATAGCTGAATTAGTCTCTCATCCGGTTATGTACGCATAGATCCTCTGCTGTCTGTCGCTCAAGAATCGTTTGTGTGTGTTTTTCTTTCCAAAGGCTCTTCTCCGCTTGGTGACATACTTCATCATAACCATCGACCGTGAGAGTGCCCTCCTGAAAGGTGCATGGTTAAACAGCTGGGGCTTGAGTGGCTAGAGCGTGCGTGTCTGGTGTGTGTGGTGTGTGTTGGCAGCGAGCCGTAGTTGTCGGTTGATGAATTCATCATCCTGTTCACCATGCATGCGATGTTTCAGCATGCTGGCCAGCCGTTGAGGAAAATAGCATCTCGTTGTGTCTGTGTGTGGTGCCGCTCGCCTCTCTGTTGAAACACATCCCAACCACATACGAAGTCTCCACACAGGCGTGCGTATTCATCCTAGTTCGCTGGCAGCAGCGTAACAGTTTTGACGTCACCCGTCTCTCCAAGTTGGTCTCTCTACAGAGGCGTGTGTATTGTGTGGCAGCAAGGTGTGCGCACACTGGTAAGATTTTCGGATTACACGTCATCTTTTAGGACATTTACCTCGGAACAGCCGTATATGAAGGCCTCGCCGATCAAAGATACAGATCTGTACCCCACGAGTTTGAAATAAGATCGGATTTCCACGGAGATTCCTGAACCATGGTTCGGGACAAAAATAGCCAAATATGTATCAAGGACCCGAACGCGAGTTTGAAATATGTCAACTCACGCACACACGCGAGGAACGACGGTGAGAGAACAAGATAATAGCCCCGCAAACATTACGAAAAGTCTGCAGTTTGTACGAACAACACCGAGATGATATTGGCCATGTCCACTTGCGTCGCGCCCGGGAGGCAAGTCACCAAAAACCCCGACGGGGAGCCTAAGTTGTGTTGATCTCCTGCAGTTCAGCGGCAAGATTGGCGGGGATCAACCCTCCGCTACGTCGCGTGTGTTGAACAACTTGCTGGTTGCGGTTCCTCTTCGGACGGTGTGTTCCGTCAAACGGCGTCTGACAGAACCCATTCCAAACAACACACAAGGGCGTTCAACGTTGACAGCATGAAAAAATGCTGGGGCGACTGCCCGACAGGTTGTTGTACCTCTCTCTCCATCGCTGATTGGCTGGTTTGACTGCATGTGTTTGCCGGCCCACCGTCGTTTCGTCCTTCCTCACCCTATTTGGTGGCGCTTTAGGGCACTTGCGTTTTTGACCGCCATCACGAACGAAACTGACAGAAGCAGAACTGGCCGTGACGGTTTCCGATGTTTCCCGGGCAGCGATCGACCCTTAGCTTAGTCCTTCTTCCCCGTGCCGCACCCAAAGAGAAGTGTTGTCTTGCTCGTCGTCAATTTTCGGGGAAAACATCCAATATATGTCCCCTCTCTCCCTGACTCTTCTTCTTCTTCTTCTTCTCGCCCTTCCCCCTCTCTCTACTCTCGAGTAGTGTGTATCACGGCGGGCACGCTTCATTCATGTTTTTTTCACCAGGCAGAGCTTGATTTCCTACGTGCGTGAACGGACACGTGTTACAAGATTGTAGAGTCACAGAATCCTCCGACCTACTGAGCTACATGAGCGGACTGCCAACGTTGTCTGTTCTCAACCTCTCTCTTTTCTAGTTCGGCTGGTTTGTCGTCATTTTTTCGTACTTGTGTCGATGCCTGCCTGAGTCTTCGCGGTGGCTATGCGCCCTGCGTGTGTCATTGGGAGGTATTGGGATGCACCAAGCACGGGGCACCAGTTGCCCCGCCCGTTCCCTCTGCCAGCAGCACCCCTCTAGGTGGGTTGTAGGAAAAATGACTTAAGACTGTATTATTTACCTCCCTTCCCGCCTCTTACACAAGAACCCCCTCCCGGGCGCCTCTCTTGCCCCTCCCCCCCACCCTTTGTTCTCGCCGTTCTACCCGTTTTCTGGCCTGTTTGTGCGTTGATCTGCTTCCGCTGACGCCGTGGTGGACGGATCTAAAATCGCTCCAAAACGAAAAAAAAAAAAAAAACACGACACAAAAACCAGACTGCCTGAACTTCTGCTTCTGGCCGACGCCCGGGCTGGAGTATGAGCACCTGGCTTTCGGCCTCAAGGCCGCCGTGCAGCGGGACCCGCTCGCCCTCTCCGCTGACCGGCTGGCGGTGGCGACGGAGGAGACGATCCGCGGCTGGTTCTCCGGGTTCGAGATCCCGCAGATCTCGGAGCGCGCCGCCAAGCTCCGGGAGCTGGGGTGCGTCCTCCAGGCGCACTTCGGCGGGGAGGCGGCGCTCCTGGTCGCGCGGGCGGCCCGCTCCGCGGCCCGCCTGGTGCGCTTACTCACCTGCCTCCTGCCGGGCTTCCGCGACGAGACCCTCCACCAGGGCCGGCAGTGCTTCTTCTACAAGCGCGCGCAGATCCTGGCGGCGGACCTGTGGGCGGCCTACGGCCGCCCGCCCCCCGGCTCCGGCAGCCTGTACGCGTTCGAGGACATCGGGGAGCTCACCATGTTCGCGGACTACCGGGTGCCGCAGGTCCTGGCGCACCTCGGCGTCTTGGAGTACAGCCAGGCGCTGGAGACGAAGATCGACGGACTCGAGCGCCTGCAGGTGAGTAATGAGTGGTTGGCGGGAGAGAAGTGGTTCAAAATCATGTTGTCATTTTGGGTTGTTCTCAGTGTTGGATGGTGACTTTGTGGTGGGTGGGTTTCGTCCGTTTTTTTTTAATTTGTTCATTGGCGTAACTTTGGTTGTGGGATGTGGACTTGTTCAAGAAACTTGCGTTGTCGTTTCGTAGTTTCTCTGTGTTGCCCGATCTCTCTTCTCTTCGTATTGCCTCTGTTTGTGCAAGGGACTCGACACCGCTACGTATCCCTTGCCGATGTATATTTCCAGTAATTTACTCCTGGACAGTCGCTACTCCTCGAGCGAGATTCCCTGTACGTGCGGTAGTAGTGGGAAACCTCCCTTCCTGTTCGTGGCTCACGTGCACCGTGCCCACACGCGAGGGTTAATCCATCGTCAGTGGAACAAGGTATCTTTTGAGCACGCCCGTATACAGAATTTCGGCCATGATAGAGAGAGTAGAATTTCGTGCCGCACAACGGTCTTATCCGTGTGTCTGCCACAAACGACGCAGACCGCCACACCACCCACAATCACCACCGAGATCACACGTACGTGGAAAAAAACGAGACGCGATGATTCCCGCAACAGCAGTGCTCAAGTGCCAACAACGATGTCCGCAAAAGACAAGGCGGGCTTTCCGCTCGTCAGTTTGCAGTTTGTGGAAGAAATGCCGCCCTTGACCACCTCAAAGCAACCCTACATACGCGGCGAAAGCGCAGAAGATTTGACGTGAACAGACTTCTGCGCTTTGGGGAATGAAGGAATTACAGTAAAATATTGAAATTTCGTTATGAGATATTGGACGGGGAAGGTCGGGTCGGTTGGTGGAGAAAAATTGAAACCGCACCGCACGATTTGTTATAGAGGCTGCACGCCTCCTCCGCCTCCTATGCATACGAGATTCCCAAAACTAAAAAAAAAAAAAACTTGAAAAAAAAAATGTTTTTGTGCGCAGCCGGGCAGCGAGGAAGAGGTGGAGATCCGCGCGATGTGTGTCCAGGCGGTGGAGGGTCTGAGAGCCGCGCTCGCAAGGCGAAACGTCGTCGTGACCAGCGTGGAGATAGACTGGCGTCTGTGGCACGAGGGCGAGAGGATCAAGAAGGACATCCAACCACATCACCGGACGCTCACCTGTTTCTATTGACGGCGTAACTTGTGGGGCGCAGGGCGGCGGGGGCGGGGGGCGAAGCTGGGGGGGAACGGAATGGTTAAGTGAAATGATTTTTACATCGCGGGGGCAACGCGAGAAAAAAAAAAATCATCGCAGTTTCTTGATTTGCTGAGAGAAGTGCCCCCTCACGAACCGTGCGAGAGGGCGGCGGGGCTGTGTCTTGAGTGGCACGGACTGTTGTGGTGTGTTTATGTCAGTGATATATTATGTGTGTAGCACGTGAAGTCTCAGGTTCTGGGACTCATGTGTCTACAAATACTATTAGAGGTGTGCCGTCCTGAACTGGACGCAACGCGCCAGCCTCAGGGAGTGCGCTGAGGGAAAAAAAGGGAGGCGGGAGGAGGAGGAGTCCGCGGGAGGTCTTGGTGTCGCGCGTACACAATTCGCCCACATGCGCTCGTTTTCGGAGATTTGTCGGATTGTTGCGAGGTTGGCAGGGCGCACGGAACAGATTATGGTTGGGCCCATCGACCGATCGAATTGTTCAGGGTTAAGTTTGTCTAGGGTGTTTCGAGAATTAAAGTGGTAAAGAGGTGGTAGGTACTTGAATTCTTTGGTCCGTCACTTTCTCTTGTCATGTTTTTTTGAAGTTCTTTGTCGGTTTCTGATCTTGCGGAGCCCTTTGGGTTGCACTGCTTAGCTCTTTGGAACGCCCGTTGAAACCGCCTTACGTAGCCGTAGCTCAAATGTCTTGCATGGGTGGTTTTGTCGTTGTCGTTGTATTTGGGGACGGTACAATAGTTCCAGAGGTTAGCCTACCCCCCCCCCACACACACACTCCGCGCTGCCCGCCGGCTCCTGATTTTGAGCGTTGCGTATTCTACGGCGATGATAAAGAGACAAGGGGAAAAGGGGGCGAGGGAGAGGAGAGTCGGAAAGAATGGACATCCCTTCGACGTTCCCCGTGGTTATTAACACTACCATATTTATTTGAATCGCGCAATTTGCGTCATGTACGTCTCGTTGCCGTAGTCCGTGTGTGCGTGCATGTATGTGTGTTTTCTAGTGTAATCTGGCACGTTCTTTCCCCCAACTTTTTTGGGGGTGTTCCTTGTTGAGTTTGTTGTGTTTCCGCCGAAGAGACAACCCGCTGTAAATATTGTATGGGCAGGGGAGAGGGCTAGCTTCGTTCGGCGTGTTGTTGCGTGCGCACTTGCCACAGAGTAAAGGCAACAGCCGTAGAATGTAGCGCTCCACTGCACAAGCGGAAATCTTGATGGTAATCTGCAAATTTCTGCTTTTCGGTTACTTACGTGAAAACTGCTGTTAGTTTTGGTGCTTCTTTTTCTTGTTCGCCTGGTCTGCGTGTTGCGCGCCCCGGCGCGGCGACGGTGACACGTCTTTGTTGCGGACGACAGTTGTGAACCGTTGGGGTTGCGCTGTCAGTGGCGTTGATCGATAGCGTGCAGCTGTCTCGTAGTAGCCGAATGATGATCATTAATGAACGTAATTCCGCCGCCTTTTTGAGGTCGATTTTTGGTGGTGCTTTTTTTTCAGAATCGCGTCAAAACACGAAAGCGCGCGAAAGGATTGACGCTTCCCCCCTCATGTCGGAACACAGACACATTCCTCTACTATTAATAGCATCGCCGAACAGCAGCGTCATAAGCAGCGAACGCATCCACCTCGGCTACTGAGTTCTCCTACGTGGTCCTGTACGCGGCTTGGCGACATCTCCGCGACCTCGCGGCGGCCCGTTGACCGCCGTAGCTCGTTCGAAAGTTGATTGACCACCGGTTGGTTGGGGAATTCTCTGGGCACCCCGCCCTCCAAGGGAGGACAGCAGTAGAGGCGTTAGGGAGGGCACACGTACTTGGCCGGCCACCGTAGGTGCATCTCGCCCACCCCGGGCTTGGGGTTGGCGCTGGGTCGTACCACACCGGGCAGTGGAAATGTCTTATGCGGAAGAAGAGGGCAGCGCTGCTGCTGCTGCGATTAGAGGCGCCCGCTACATGTCGCCTCAGCGCCACACGAGGGCACCCTGGCGGGACGAAGACGAGGGATACGCCTCGTCTCCTGGGAGAGGGCGCTACAGCCTGTCGACCCTCGCTGGGAGCCCGGACGCGCCGGTCGTCGACCTAGCTGGCCTAGACACCACCCTTCGGAACGACGACAGCGTAGTAGTGTTGAGTCCACAAGGCGACGGTGATGACCAGGGATCTGGCGACACCGCCTCGGGGCAAAAAGCAGGTGAGCGTGACGGAACGACTAAAGTATTGGTAGTGTTTATGTTGGTCTGAAGGCGCAGCACGCCCCGGTTGGGCGGTGACCAGGCCAACAACATGAGCAGACGGCGCGTGTGGCAGTTATTTTTGTACAAGTTTTCTAGCAGCAGTGTACAGCAGTGACGGGCGAATTTTCCCGAAAGCGTGACCACGTGGTTGCTTGTGGCGGTGAGTCCTGCAGGTGTGTCGGTCGCCTTGCTAGACTAGTGCTGTTGCCATGCTATAGGTTGGAGTCTACATACATGCGCGTACATTCGTTGCCCTGTTCCTGTCCTGTTGCACGATGTAGCTCGGGCACCGTCCTCGTGGGAGGACCGTGTTTTTGTATAAAAAGAACACGCCTGCTGTTGTTGATTGCATGGCCTCAACGTAAAAAAAGTGCAAAAAAAAGTGTATGTAATTAGCTGACACGCCAGATACCTTTGCCTTTGCCTCTCTCTGTTCATTGTGTGTGTTTATGTTGGCGTATTGTTTAGGTGCTACGGGCAACCAGACGGCTGTGAGGCCCATGTGTAGGATTGGAGAGAAGCAGTTACTGATGCAACTCGTTCAGGAGTACACACCGGAGGGGGCTCGGGAGACCAAGGCCGGGGCTCGTGTCTGGTTGGATATCGCGAAGCGGATGCTGATCCCAACAGAGGTCACGGTCACGGAGGACGCCGAAGATACCGTGGTTACGGTATATGTTTAACACAACGTGGTCGCGTAACCACAGT